GTTTATTAAAGATTCGTTTTAATTCCATAATGATAAGAACAAAGGTGATATGGTATGCCTCGAAAAAGTTTATTAAAAATTTGTTTTAAAGTAAGCCATTCCACAATAATAAAGACAAAAGTATACCGCCTTTAAAAAAGTTATCAAAATAATGAAATAACAAAAACAAATATTCTATATGATAAAAACAAAAGCCGTACGTATTAGAAAATCTGTTAAAGCCTAGGTCGAGAATAAAGTAGTTCTAGTCTCTGATTCCTCTAATTAAATTGTAGTACACTATCCTGTAATAGTCTTATATAATTAAATAATAAAGAAACAGAGACCAGGTCTTGCTTTTTTTTTTTTAAAAAAAAAAAAATCTGTTAAATTTTTAGTAACAAAGGCGGTATTACTTTCCTTAGTAAATAAATGCAATATATTTAAGACAAATATGTTTTAAATTTTTTTATTTAAAAGCCTTAAAAAAAAAAAATCAAAAAAAAATCAAAAAAAATCAAAAAAAAAAATCAAAAAAAAAGACAAACGAATTTGACTCTCTTACAGAAACAGATCAATTCGAATTCGAATTAATAAATAAAGAACCTCCTAGTTCCCCTAATAAAGAAACCTTCATGAGCGATGAAATCGCATCCATGTCCTCAGATAACACAAGCCCACAAAAAAACACAAATAACCCAAAAAAAAGAGCAAATAACCCACGAAAAACCTAGATTAAACATATACAAAACCGAGCACCTGTCAGAGATTACCTTAATGAACTCGACAATGGAAGTAATGAATGCAAAGTATGTGAACAAGCATTCAGAAAGCAGACCGCAATATCAACCATTAATCAGCATTTTGAAGCTTTCCACTCTTCTGAATACACTATAATCAAACAGCGTAAATATCAATGACTCGATCCTTATGGCCCTAATGAAAAATATAAAGTGGATAATTTAAATAATAAATTTTTAAAATGGGTGGTCATCGACCAACAATCATTTTTATTATCTGAAAATGCAGAATTTATTAAATTTTTGCAAGAACTTAATCCCCGTTACCGTCTCCTCTGTCGCCAAACACTCTCAACTTGGGTTGGTCAAGAGTATAATAAAAATAAAGATAAAATTAATTTTTTTTTAAATAAAATACAATCAAAAATTTCAATTACAATAGATAGTTGAATGTCATATACCCAGCAGCCCTATATTGGTGTAACTGCACACTGGGTGGATTCTGAGTGGAAAATGCATCGTATCTTACTTGACATGATCCCGTTTAACGAAACCCACACTGCAAACAACCAGGCCAACACGATTATTAAACTTCTAAAAGAAATGAGCATCGGCAAAAAACTTCTAGGGATCACAACCGATAATGCTGCCAATATGCTTGTGATAGGGCGTGTTCTAAAAGAAAAAATAAACAATGAGTTTAGCAATCCAAATGTATAATATATCCGTTGTGGCGCCCACGTTCTTAATATCATTGTAGAAGAAGAAATAAAATCAATAAGCAAAGAAATTTCTAAGGCAAGAGATTTCTCTAAGAAAATTCGAAACTCTTTGTCACTAATTCGAGAATTAAAAAAAATTTTGAGTTGAAAAATATTCCATTTTTAATGCCCGAAATTGATATGAACACAAGATGGAATAGCATGTACATAATGTTAGAAAAACTTCAATGAATCTGTCCCATAACTGATATCCTTGTAGCGAGCAACCAAACTTTAAACCCAAATTATCCTACTTAATGCGAATAGAAAATTATTTTTGTTAGTAATTTTAATTTTTTTTTTAATTGTAAAATGTATTTGCTTTAATTATAAGCTAATATTTTATAGGACCTGCTAATTCTTCTTGAGCCCATGTACCACGCGACTATAATGCTGTTTTCATCCACACTTCCTACTCAAGATGACTTGCACATGATATTCCGTGGTCTTATTATATACTTAAATAATAATAAAAATCCAGAAATTAATTCACAATATGCTGTAGCTAGCACAATGAAAGGAAAATTTACATCATACTGGGCTTACCTAAGTGAATCTTTAACAATTTCAGGCCTTCTTGATCCCTGCAATAAACTTTCAACCTTTGATATTTATGAACATGAACAAGCTATTAATAAACTTCACGAATTGCACAAAAAGTATAAACCAATCGAAGAAAATAAGCCACTTCTACCTCCTACTACTACTAAATCAACATATGTACTTTTTCGTAATCTTAGCCAAAGCCGCCAGACTGACCTGAATTAATGTGAAATTGACAAGTACTTGACTGAGATTGAAACTGAAGCCGAACTACTTCTTTGGTAGAAGGCAAATGCTGCCTCATTCTCGACTCTCTCCCATCTTGCAATAGACTTCCTTGCTGTGCAAGCGACCAGCATGCCAAGTGAGCAAGCTTTCTCGGTTGCCAAGCACACGATTAGTCTTACCCAAAATCGTATAAGCCCTGAAGTAGCTTGTGCGTCCTTGTGTTTGAAAAGTTGATATAGAGAACTAGGTGATCTATTAAATGAAGAGGCAAATTATATTAGTGCTTAAAATAAAGTTTTTTTTTCTTTTCGGTCTTATAAATTTATTT